TAACAATAATTATTAATTAGTCATATATCAATTATTTGTTATCTACTATTATCTACATTTGAATATCTAATCAAAACACACTCTCTTAACTTTATGTTTGATATGGTAGTTTTTTTCTCGCAGATATGCAATAGGCAACCTTTCTTTTGCATTTTATATAAGTTTTAAGTAAAGCACTACAAATACTGATATTCTAATTGTAAAAATATTCAAAATGAAGTCATGATTATGATTTTTTTTTTAGTATAAATTATGTTGAACTATAAAATAAAAATTATTAGATGATGGAGTAATCTTCAATATAAAAGATCTATCCATATCTAACAATTTATGTTATGTAATCTGATTACACAACACTTTTTACATTTCACCAAACATTAAAATGAACCATAAAACTACTTAAATAGCTTTTAACATTAACACAACCCAATAGAGATAATCCTACACAGTTTTAATATGATGAAAGCAAGCTAGTTTTCAATACAGATATTATTTGTCAACATTGTTAATTTTATTTATGAATAACAGATTCTTACAACGTGAGATAATAACATAAGTCTTTATTTACTTATTGTAACTTATTGTAAGATAATATATATATATATATATATATAAATGCACCTGGCCTTCCTTTCTCGATATAGTGGCTTTGTCACCCTTGATAAGTACACCCATGGCCCCTTGAATTGGATCCAATTCTCCCACCCCTAATTTGTAATCTATTAAAAAAAAGATAATGTATATATATATATATATATATATTTATTTGGTAGAAAAAAATATTGTGTAACTTAAACTGTATGAAACTACACAATATTAATCATTGAATAAAAAATTAAGTTCTTTAATATTGAAAACTCTTTTTCATGTAATAATTTATATTTTATAGTCTAATGTTTTTCATATTGTAAAATAAGATTCTCATTTGATATTGATATTATGTGAATACTATACTTTTAATGATTTACTGTTAATAAAGATCAATATATGAATGAAAGCCAAAAAAACAAAAAAAAAAAAAAAAAAAAAAAAGAGAGAAAAGAAGGAGGAGAATCCAAAACAAATTGTAAATGGCATCAAATCTATACCCAAAAATCGAATCTAACCAAACAGAATAAACCGATTATATTACCTTTTTTAAAAATAATAATAATAATAATAATATTTGATTCTGCTTCCTTATTCTTGCCAGATGCGCTCCATTATGTTATGATGTGAGAATAAAAGCTATATACCGAACGCATTTGTCCTCAACTCACAGAAACAAACATAATTAGGTGGACATATTCCATGCTTGATGCTTCCCGTGTGCCTCGTGCCTCGTACTTTTCCAAAATAAAAATTAAAATAATTTTTTTTAAAAAGTCCAATAATTCTTTAATTATAATAAAAACTAATATAGTTAGGGAAAAGGAGCCGTCAGTCCTACCTCCCAAAAAAATTTGGAGTCCCAACCATAAACGACGTCTTTCTCTTTATCCCCAGCCCTTTCTTCTTTTTGCCCCTTCTGCAATCATCTCCATCTCCATGGACTACTCCGATTCCTTCAATTTTTCAGACGCAATCCCACCCCGTCGACTTAATCTTTAGCACCCACTATTTTAACCCCATTCCCCCACTGCAATTCATCGTCTCAACAACTTCAACCCATTCCTCTAGTTGCGGAAGACGACGACTACTACGACGAGCGCAAAGTAACCAAGCTTCGCCGGTTGTCGTTCTCGCCGTCGTCTTGTCCGCCCTCACCGTCAATTTCCAGGCCTGAGAAGTTTATTCACCTCATTCCAGTTCTCACTCTTCTTTGCTTCCTCATCCTCTATCTCTCCTCTCACGCTCCATCTCAATCAGGTATGTGTGTTCAAAATCTACTAGCTAAGCATCATTTTTCAAAGG